AAAATTTGGTGTCATCTTATTATTTATTTTTCCTCTTAAGTGACTAGTTAAACCACCAGTTTTATTTTATTTTCTTCCTAAGGGGCTGGTTAAACCACCCAATATATTTGGCTTGGCTGGCCACGCTGCCTTTTTCACTAACAGTTAATATTGGTCAGCTAGCCACCTTTATTTTTCCTCTTAAGTGACTAGCTAAACTACCAGTTTTATTTTATTTTCTTCCTAAATGGCTTGTTAAACCGCCCAATATATTTTGCTTAGCTGGCTATACTGCCTTTTTCACCAACGGTTAATATTGGTCGGCTAAGCCGCCTGTTTCACCATTCTCTATTATTGTTTATGTGTTTTGTTCACAGGAATTAATTTATTCCACTGCGCCATTTTTTCCCAACAACCCTCTGCTACAATTAAAAAGAGAATAGAAGATAAAGGAACTCCTTGCCTTAGACCCCTACTCATGGAAAATTCTTTGAATGCACTACCATTAAGCAATACTAAAACTGAGTTTGATTGAAGGCACTCCTTTATCTATCCTCTCCAAACATCATCAAACCCCATTCTAACCATCATATAATCTAGAAATTGCCAACTAACTTTGTCATAGGCTTTTTCAAAATCAACCTTGAAGATAAAATGACAGGACTTCCTTTTTTTTACTTCCTCAATTGCCTCATTAGCTACAACCAGCCCATCAACTAATTGTCTTCGTCTAATGAAAGATGATTGCTGCTCCCCAATAATTCCCCCAAGGATTCTACTCAATCAATTTGCCAAGACCTTTGAAAGAATTTATACATGCAGCCTATTAGATTAATTGGCCTATACTCCTCTATTTTCTATGGATTTTCTAACTTAAAGATTAGTACAATGAAGGAGGAATTTAACCCCTATACCAACTTGCCATTTTGGTGGAAATATGTCAAATAACTCAATATATATGTCTTTAACACTTCACATTCTAACTTTATGAAGTCAAAACTAAAACCATCGGGTCCAAGAGCCTTTGCACTATCACATTCCCAAACTACAGATCTGACTTCTTCCTCAGTAAAAGATTCAGTGAGATTTGCCCTATCTGTGGGTAATAAGGATTTAAAATTAACACCATCCAGAACTGGTCTCTGCCACCCTTCCTTTGTAAACAATTCTACAAAATAATTGGTTGCCCAATCTTTAAGCTCTTCAACACTTGTTAATTCTACTTCGTTGACTAATAGAGAGTTAATTTGGTTTCTGCGCCATCTTCCTTTGATGCTTCTATGGAAGTACCTTGTATTTGCATCACTAGCCCTTAACCATATTAACCTCGATTTCTGTTGTAGCATGTCTTCCTTTAGTCAAATGTTCACCCACAGATCCTCAATGCAGTTCCTTCTAGCTATAGTCTCCTCTGCATCCAACTGTTTAAATTCACCTTTACAATCAAGTCTTGCTAATTTAGATTTAGCTCTTTCTATTTTCTCATCCACCTCCACTTTATGTTCCTTACTCCAAGTCTTTAAAAAGCCCTTTAGAAGCTTTAGTTTTTCTCTAAGTACATAGCTGCCCCACCCTTTCACCTTCAACTGTTTCCATTTCTCTGTAACTAGATTCGTGAAACCTGGAACTTCTAGCCAGGCGTTGATTAATTTAAAACGCTTTGGCCCCCAATTAAAAGCTGCATTTTTTACTAATATTGGGTAATGATCCGATATAGATCTAGGTAAACCCCACAGTTTTAGATTTGTCCATATTGTTATCCACTCCTCAGTGACGAGGAAGCGATCCAATCTGCTCATAAAGATGCCATTTATTTGATACCAAGTGAACTTTCTACCCAACAATGGCAAATCCACCAAACTATTTGTTTCAATGAATTCATCAAAACCTTTGAGTTCACTTTGAGCACTTTGACCTCCTTTCCTTTCTTGTAAATTTCTGATGGCATTGAAATCACCACCAATACACCAATTTCCTCTACAACTCTTTAATAAATTACTTAATTCCTCCCACAAAATCCTCTTGCCTGCAAGATCATAGGGAGAATAAACATTAGCAAGAAAGCATGGAACTATGTCAACTCCCAGAAACCAAATACCACAATAAAAGCATCTCCTTCAAACACTCTAACTTTGTTAAACAAATCACAGTTCCATATAAGAATCAACCCACCAGAAGCACTAATGGATGGTTTTGCAATCCAGTCCATATTTTCTAAGTCCGTAATTCTTCTAGACAATCTCCTATCTACATCTTTTGCTTTTGTCTATTGTAAAAATAACATATCAACTTTCTCTTTTGCCACCAGTTCCTGAACTACTCTTTTCTTCCCTTTCCCTCCTAAACCTCTTATATTTAAAGATAATAAAATCATGATGGATGTGAATTCACTTGGTTCTTGCTTTTTGATTTGCCCATCTCTTCTTTCCTTTTTTTCTCCTTGTATCTGACTTCTAACTCATGTATTTTCTCCAAAATCACATGTTCATCTCTTGTCGCTGTAACCCTAAGAACTTTCACTTGCTCCCATAATGTTGTTACAGACCTTTTCACATCCCACAAGTGAAGGCACCGGTTGCAATTTTGGATATTACTATCATTAATTGAAGCATCAACCACTGAGATTTCTGAATTTGGTTCAAGAGTCACCATTTGCTTCTGCATTGCAAATTTCAAATAGTAGCCCTTCTTCCTTTTGTGCACCATGTTGTCTTCTAATCCCCCTGTCTCCTTATAGATTGAGGCACAAGACTTCACTCCTCTTCTTTGCTCCCTTTTCACTTTGTGTTCCCTTTTCCTCATCCATTCTACTACTTCACCTGATTCGCTTTCCAAGCCTTCCCAAAATGATCTCAAATCTTCTTGATTTGGTTTGAATTAAGGTTGTCCCAATAAATTACTTTTAGCACAACCTGTTGAAATTGGAGGCCCATTCTCCACTGGACCACTAACCTTGGACACCCACACATGATTAGACCCACCTTCTACATTTTCACCCTTAGGCCCCAATACTTTCTCATCGTCCAGCCCAAGTCAAGTAAACCCAACCCTATCTAGTAACTCTTCATTTGCTTGCATCGAAATTGCAGCCATTTTTAAATCTTTGATAGAGTCGGTTTCTTTTCTCTCATCACCAATTAATGAGTAGCCATTTCCATTCAAATCTACCTCATTACCTACTTTAGCCGCCATGCATAGCGCATGATTCTCACTCCCAATGCCATTAATCATAAAGGCCATAGGAATTTCCTTTTCCTCAAAAAAAAAAAAGTCATAAAGGCCACAGGGCTTGAGGCGTCAAGTAGCCCCACCTCGCCACTATTTTTGGCTACACATGTATTAGCTATTTTGACAGCTACCCCAAGCTCTAGGCTATTCAAATTTGAAGATTGTATTTCTTCCTCCACATTTATCCCAATCTTCTCCACTTCTTTAATTGTCCTAATTGATGCCTTTCTAGTAGATTTTGCCTCGTTAAGCCCATTTGATATCCCACTAGTTGTTTTAGTCATCTCATCTGTTTGTCTTCCATGTTATCATCAACTTCACCTGCCACCTCACCAATTGTTTCAGCCACCTTAGCCACTATGTCTCCCCTGTCAACATTATCTTCATCTGCCATGCTTCTATTATCAGTTCGTCAAAAAGTAATGGAGCTTCCTTCAAGACTTGAATCCGTATCTATTGAATCATTTGATGGCCATGATTCCCCATAACCATCATTAGTCTCCCTAAACACATGATCTGTCCTAATGGAGAATAGATTGTTTTCAGATTCTTCCTTTGTGAACTTAATTTTGAATAATTTTCCATTTATTTTGACAGTTAGAAACTTCGATAAAAAATCCATAAACGAGGTTGTAATAAAGAATCTAACCACATCAAATCTCTTCTTTCTGCTTATGCTATCATCCAGTGTAATAAACTTTCCCCATATGCTTCCAAAAGTTTGAAAGATGTCTACTTTCCAAGAATGCAAAGGAAGACCTTTGCAATGAATCCATGCAAAACGTTCAGTTGCCACCATAATAGGGGACATGGTCTGATATCTTTGAACCATTGCCTTAACCAGTCTTGTCCCATCTCAACAAGTGCCTTCAGATCTTCAGAATCACTACCTTCCAAGAGAACAAGCTTTCCTCCCATAGCTCTTATGTTAC